GGTTTTATATATTATTATAAAAAAGGTGGGTGCATGGACTCGGAAAGCAAACAAAACTTGTCGCTATAAATTAATTATAATTTTGAAACAACGGGTGACCGACGTCGCCGAACAGAGACCCCTTTTTATGGGTGGGGGCGGGGAGATTCAAGGTTAATCAAACAGAAAAATCCAAAGCAAACGGAGCAAAAAAAAAAAAATCACCGCTTTCGCAAAGTGGCTCAGTGGCGAGACAAAGGTGACAACATTAATTGTTCGGGGAGACCCTTTTGGGGTGGCGGGGAGGTTAAAATAATTTATGGTGGACATTCCACTTCGTCCCCGTGCGCGCTTTTGTGATTTAATTTACAAAACCCCACCGGAGCCGACTACCGCCACCCACCCTCCGACCAACCCGGCAACTTCACTGTCCGATCCACGCAATTCACACATAGCCGCAACCTTGGTATAATAATATAATACAGTAAAACCTGTGTAATATGGAAACGGTTGGGACCGGATATTTTTTCCATTTTAGACAGATTTCCATTTAATGCAGGTTGTAAAAAAAAAATTCACGATAGGTAGATCTTTATTAAATATAATTTATTATTTATTATTAATTCATTTATTTCATATATTTTACATATTATTTATTATTAATTATTAATTATTAATTGCATCTAGTACATTAATTTTATTTGACAATTCATTAACACTTTTTATGCTATCCATACTTGCTAATAATGATTGTAAAACAATTTTACGATAATTTACTTTAATCAAATAAATAATTCCTTGGTCCATTGGTTAGGTAAGTGATGTCGTGCTAGCTGGAAGCCACGCTAAACGAACATTTGATAAATTTAAATGCGGATGACATGTTGCATTATCAAGAAATAAAATAACTCTTTGATGTTGTTTTTTTAATTTATTGTTGAATGTATGCAACCAATCTTCCATTATGCTTCCAGTCATCCATGCTTTATTATTAGCTCGCCAAATTCTGGGAAATTTTGTCGGATCTACATTTTTGAAGAATCTGGTTTTTGTGATTTGCCTATAACTAGAGGTTTTTCAAATTCTCTTTCCATGTTGGCACATAAACATATACGTCTATACGCAGTCTACGTCAGAACACTACTACGACACTTATCGATAAAATAAACTTATTGCAATGAAATAATCTATGAAATTGATATAGATTATATTAATTGACTGATAACTTTAAAATAGTACATGTACATATTTCCATGATATACAGGTCCATGACAAAATATTGTTTCCATTTCCACGTTAAACAGGTTCCATCTTATTCAGGGAACGATATATTTAAAACTACATTAGGTTCGCCGGGACCGTAACATTTTTCCATAAAAGTCAGGTTTCCACGTTATTCAGGTTCCATATTACACAGGTTTTACTGTATAATCAACGTCGGTCGGTACCCCCGAGGCGTAATCAACCCGTGATCGTCGTCGTCGTCATCGTTTTTCAATACTCTACGTCCGATCTGGTTATTATTATTTATTTTATTTTATAAGAAACGTACCTAACCGATTTTTATCATGTAATCCCAAAAGTATATCTATCACTGTTACTGCGGTACAGATATTATGAGGGTAGGTAGCTGATGCTACTTGTTAGCCAGGTTACAATTCCAACTTTTTGAAATGAACAGAATATAATGTGCTTTCCGTAAAAGAAAGTTAGAAAGTTAACCATAACGCGTTTGTCGGAACGAGACGATATTAAACTATTGATAAAATTATGTTAGTAAGACCTTTCTGAATATACAAATATTGGATAATTCGACGTTTTACAAACAAAATTTGATTTTTTAATTCTTAAAATATTTTAATATCTTATAATATTTAATTCTTAAAAATAATAATTTTTTGTTTTAATTCTAATATGCTACCAAACGACTGGTCATATACAGAATGCCGCATTCTATTAGATATAATTTCAAAATCAATATTTTTTATAGTTCAGTACCTACTTCAGTACCTAATCTTTACGAGTTATGGTTTCATTTTTGAATCGAAATTTTAAAATAATTAAATTGTATTCCTAAATTCAACCATCGCTAACTGTAATACGATGATGTAGACATGTGATGCCGTTATGATACACAAAAAAAAAAAACTTTATCAGTTTTGTCGTACGACGTCTCGCGGATGCGACAAAATGATGACGAACAATAATAGCGGATTACACGAGGCGAAGGGTGATTTTTTTAGAAACTCTTGTGATAATATAATACCCTATTGTATTCGGCGTCATACCATCGAAGTATATTATATTATTATCATCGTGCTATTATCAAAACTTGAATCGTGTCAGTGTTAAAAAATAATGTTATACAAATAATATGCATATCAAATAATATAATATTAAATATTCGTCTGTGTTTCAAATTATATTTCTCAGTATTATAATCGGTTAAATACGAATGAATTAGTTTATCGGTTACGAATAAAAGAAAAAAAAAACGGAGGAAAAGTTGCTTATGGGAAAAATAACATTTCGATTGACATAATACACTCAGTGGTGTAACAAAAATACAAAATAACTATTCCAGAGAGTATTATTATAATACCTGTCTTATACTTAAAATTTTAAAAGTTATAGCGTTTATTTTAGAATTATTATCCAATGCGTTTTTTAACGTTTATCAAAAACAACAAGTACACCCAATAATGTAATAACTTTTTTAGTTTTAAGAGCTTGTATACAATTTTAATTTTGATAAATGAAAAATAAATTAATACCTATAATAATTAATTATCATTACTATATAATTACTTTTATTACTATAATACGGTAGGTACAGCAAACGTTTATCGTTTTATAAACTTGACGCGATATTACTCAGTAGTGTGAGTTCTTTTCAGTTTCTTTTTTTTTTTTTTGTGTGTGTCACGTTAGCTTCAAAATACTAACTTATGTAAATGATAAATATAAAAAAAAAAATTAGATCTCCTATGATACCAAACTATAGGTACCTACTACCTACGTATTTTCACCTTTTTTTGTTGGTTCGATAACCTTTTTCATTATTCAAGTGATGATGATAATCACATACTATTATGTATACCTAAAAACGCGTATAATATACATTTTAATTGCTTACCACGTTATTAAACGAATTAATTTTTTTAGGGTAATTTAGTGACGTACTTATACCACCCAACTACGTATCGTAGTTGATATTTTGACTAAGTAAATTTAAATGTATTCAAATAAAGGGTAATTTGTAAAAATATTCTGCAAGTGTTTTTTTACGTTGCAAAATACTCGTTGCTTAACCTTTAATGTAATTATCGTGTCGTCAAGAGGTATTAAAACGTGGACAAAATGTGTAACAAGACTTAAACTGAAAAGTTCCAAGTGAAAATTTAAATTCAAATTTCGTGAACACGCCGTCGGCTATACTATCGATAATAATTATTACTGCAATTTATCAATGATAATTATTACAAATGGTGCAATGTATGTACTTTATGCTCGATACTGAATGTCGAACAGTTAATAAATGTCGTTCTATAAAATATAAATAATATGACGTACAAGATATCTTTAATGATTATTTATTATTTAATTTATAAAGAGACATTTTAATCTTATTGTTAAATTTGTTTTTGTTGGGAATTCAATAAATTAATTTCAACAGATTGAATAACAAATCGTATAAGTTAGAGACTCGTCCTAAAATGTACCTAATGGGTTTATGTGGGGTCAAAGTCTTCTTCATTCATCGCAATACTAAGATGGATTTATTTTCATTCAACACTTAGGTACAAATCGTAGCTATAATAAGTGTCAATTTAATGAGAAAATATAATATAAATGTTTGTGCAACACCACCGTTACTCCGCTGGACATCGCGTCGGGTGTCGAACATTCGCGAAGTTGACCCCCCGACCCCCTCCACCACCCTGGATCGCGCCGCGTCGCGCTTCCAGCCGCGGGCTATCGCCGCAAAACTAGTTCTCTCCGCACGTCCGTGCTTGGCAGGTCGAATTGTCGTTTTCGTACCCGCGCCATCGTTGTCGTTGATGTGGTGTCCGGATCTGTTCGTCGACCACGTTTTTCGTTCGCGCACACGCCGTTTTTGTATACGCGCGTTTTCCGCTCGTTGTGTTCTCCTCATACTTGGCCGTTCCCGACCTCCACGTGTGTCAACGTGCCAGTCCGTTACTGACTTAGGTAACGTTGTTTGTAGTCTCATTCACCGTAGTGCGTGTTCGGACCCCCCTTGTCGTCCATCACCGTACGCGTGAATAATCTTCGATCGCGCTCGTGCGTTTTACCGTGTACGCTTTTCGCGTTGTTAAGTGCGTCCCCGTTCGCTGATCCATCGTGGGTCGCGATCGGCCGAATTCGGGTTTTTCCCTAATTTGCCACTGCACCCTGTGGTACGCCGTTACGCCGCGAGCGCCGCACCAGTCAGGTGTGCCAATTCCGTCATCGCCGGTGCGTTCGAGCGGTGCACCGTTCCCATCGTGTTGCTGTCAGTTGGTACCAGTGTTGTCATCGTCGTGTCCAGTCGTCCAGGGGTCAGCTGTTATCAGTCCAGGCCGTTGTCACCACCACCACCGGCAGATAAGATTTATTTTGTTATTATTTATATATATTATTTTGTACATCGCCATTCCCAAATATTAGGTCATTGTAAGGTATGATCATACCCCCCTGATTATAACACTATTGTTTTTGACTAGTTTGTAATAATACAGTTGTTCAGTGCCACCAGGGCACACCTTCAATTTGTTCGCTTATTTACTAGTTTTGTAAGTTGTAAGGTTACCTACTCTTAGTCACACACCGGTTACGAGATATTCTTACCCGTCGCAAGTGTCGTACGGCCGGCTAGCGAGACGACGTCAATAGCTCCGTCCGGTGCGCATACATTTTGGTAGCAGAGCGTGGTTAGGAACCTTATGGGGGGTCCCAGCCAAGCGGCGTAGTGAATTATCAGCCTTTGTGTGACATATAGCTACTTGTAATCATTCAAGATGGTCGAGACCAAGAAAGAATTCGCTGAACGCGAGGAGCGCCGTCGCGCGATCGCAGCCCTGAAGCGGGAGTCCGCGATTGAGGGTATAAAGGCGGTGCATGCCATGATACCACGCGCGAATTCCGAGCCGGACTTCGTACCCGAATTTATTTTAAATGTTGACGGGTTAGATGCGGGGTGGTCTCAGTATGAAGCGGAAGATAACACGGTATTAGAATGCCTTGTTAACTTAGGTAAGGCCAGTGAATATACCCCCGGACAATCGGGTGAATTACGAATTTTGATTAATTCCGCGAAAGCTGCCGCGAATTTACTTCGTCCGACTCGCACAGCGCCCACCGCGGGCCAAAACGTCGGTAACTCATCGTCCGTGTTCGACGCGTCGTCCGGTCCAACGTTACCGCGACTTCCGGAAATCCCCCTACCGAGATTTGGAGGCGATTTTCGCTTGTGGCCGACTTTTCGTGATACATTCATTAAGCAAGTCGATAGCCGCCAATACCTGTCGAACGTAGATAAGTTATATTATTTGACTGGGTGTTTGCATGGTGCAGCCTTGGATGCGATTCGCAGTATACCCGCGTCCGATGATAACTATCAGTTGATATGGTCAACTTTGTCCGCGCGTTTCTACCGCCCGCGTATGGTCGCGACTTCGCTATTAGAAAAAGTGTTAAACGCGCCGTCGTCGTCGCAGGAGTCATTGCACGACTTAACCGTTTTTTTATCTACATTTGACGAAAACATTTCGTTATTATCCGCGATGGACATTCCCGACCTCGGGTCGTTCATCCTGTTTACGTCGGCTTTCCGTGCGTTACCGCTCGCCACTCGCAAATTATTCGAATCCACCATGACAAGTGACGACGTTTATCCATCAGTCGATAAACTGCTGAAATTCGTGCGGGATCGTATTACCGTCTTAGAAAATGTGGGCGAGCCGCGGAAGACTAGTGCCAAGCCGAAGCCACAGCCTGTTACCGGGCCGTACGTTAGTCACCGCGCGGGGAAAAGTAATCCCGTGGCGCTCGTCGCCGCGAAACCAACGGAGCGTCATTCACAGACTCCTACCAGCTCATGTTCATGCTGTCAGGGTTCACACAGCATCAGCGCGTGTCCGAAGTTCCGATCATGGTCATTGGACGATCGGAATCGATGGGCCCATGAAAATAAAGTTTGTTTTAATTGCCTCAGCGGTAATCATTTTATCCGCGCCTGTTCGTCCAAGTCGCGATGTCACCAGTGTTCGAAAAAACATCACACGTTGTTACATGGTGTTACTCCCAACCGTCAAGAGGAAGGCGGTGAAAGTGGGGGGGAAACACCGTCGTGTTGCGCGGCCGCGTTGGCACCGCGCCCGAGTGCGATACCAACGGTTTTGTTAGGCACTGCGTTGATTCACGCTCGCGACAGGGCCGGTACGTGGCAAACAGTTCGCGCGTTGGTCGACTCCGCGTCCCAGATAAGTGCCATGACAGTCGAGTGTTCCACCCGCTTAGGATTCCGGCCCCGTCCGTGGACCATGCCAGTCAGTGGCATATCCGGTACACCTGTCGTCAGCGTGAAGGGCATCGTCGAATGTCACATCCGGCCGCGTTTTGCGTCCGAACCATCGCTGACTGTGCAAGCGTGGGTGCTGCCTTCAATCACTAGTGACATGCCGCGCACCTCAATCCCCGTCGACATTAAGGACCGATTTTCCACCCTCGCGCTCGCCGATCCGCAGTTCAACGTCGCGTCACCGGTCGACATGTTACTCGGGGCCGACGTGTTTTCAGCGATATTGGATGGTCGTCAAATCAAAATCGACGAGGCACTGCCCACGGCATTCAGTTCGATTTTCGGTTGGGTCCTCATTGGACCACTGCCAGCGACCGCCACTTGTCATGTCTTCACCACACCGGTGTCATTAGCGACATCCATCGAGAATCTAATGGACAAGTTTTGGTCAGTTGAAGAACCGGACGCTGCACCTCCTTCCTTCACCGACGACGGTTGGTGTGAGAGTCACTTCCGCGCTGAACACACACGTTTACCGTCTGGGCGATTTCAAGTGCCGCTGCCGACGCGTAAGCCGGTATCCGAGTTGTCATTCCCGGGTTCGCGTTCCGTCGCGCTAAAACGTTTTGAGTCGCTCGAACGTAAGTTGATGTCTAACCCGACTCTGCGCGTGGCATATTGTGCCTTTATGTCTGAATACTTGTCGCTCGGCCATATGTCCGTGGCAGCGACACCGGGGCGATATGTCATCCCCCACCATGCCGTATGTAACCAGTCCAACGGAGACTTAAAAATCCGCGTTGTGTTCGACGCTTCGGCAGTGTCCCATGACGGGACGTCACTAAACGGCTGTCTAATGCAAGGTCCGAAGTTACAGCAAGACATCGTCGACATTCTAACCAGGTTCCGGGTGAACAAGTACGCGTTCACCACTGACATCTGCAAAATGTACCGGCAGGTGATGGTGGCGCCCGAGTACCGGCCGCTGCAACACATCCTATGGCGTGCGTCACCTCACGACCAGCTTGTCGAATACGAATTAAACACCGTGACGTATGGCCTGAACTGCGCTCCGTTCTTGGCACTCCGCGTGCTGGCTGCGATCGCCGAGGTGGATTGCGTCGGTCATGAGGGAGTACGGCAGGCGTTGCTGCACCAAACCTATGTCGACGACATATGTACGGGGGGCGACACAATCGACGATGTTTGTACGCTCCAAAGGGAGATGATCGCGGTGCTCGGCAACTCCGGTCTGGAATTGAAGAAGTGGTCGAGTAACTGTCCCGCGATCCTCAACGGTGTACCCGCGTCCGACTGTGTGACCGGTCCTTTATCGTTCGATGCTGTGGATGGGATCGGGGTCAAGGTTCTCGGCTTGCAATGGCAGCCGACAGATGACGTTTTTAGGTGTGCCCTCCGGTGCGATGCGCCACCCGTATTCACCAAACGCGGCGTCTTATCATTAATCGCGCGTATTTTCGATCCGTTGGGCATATTCGCGCCGGCCACTTTCTACGCGAAGCACATAATGCAACGGACGTGGTCATGCAACCTTGGCTGGGATGACCCTCTTCCGAAGGATCTCCATCAAGAATGGTCCACTTTCGTTGAATCGTTGGCCTGCCTCCTTCAGATTAACATTCCGCGACACTTCAACACGCAGTCCGCCGACCGTTGTTTATTGTTGGGATTTTGTGATGCGTCACAGCATGGTTGCGCAGCTGTCGTATACCTCCGCGTGTTGGACGACCGGGAGGACGTTTCGATTTCGTTGGTCGGCGCAAAAACCAAGCTAGCGCCGATAAAATCATTGACCATCCCGCGGCTCGAGTTGAACGCCGCTGAGTTGTTGGCGCGTTGGTTATACCGCGTCAAGTGTATTCTCGACCGTCAGGTCAACATCGTCGGTGTACATGCTTGGACGGACTCAACGATTGTCCTGTCCTGGTTGGTCAATCGCCACGAATCGTTTAAAATATACGTGTCAAATCGGGTACACAGAATTAACACGCTACTACCGAGTTGCGTGTGGGCACACATTCCGTCCACGGACAACCCCGCCGATTGTGCTTCGCGCGGTGTGTTACCGTCCGAGCTTCCAGCGTTAAAGCTTTATTGGCAGGGCCCTGAGTTTCTACGTCGTTGTCCGTCATCGTGGCCGGTCGGGGCCACCATGCTGCCGCTGAGCGATTTGCCCGAAGTGCGGGTTTTGTCAGTGACTGTCGACGATCAACCTCCCGTTGTTGAATGGTTCGACGAGTTTTCGTCTTATGACAAATTGATTCGCGTTGTCGCCCGTGTGTATCGATTTATAGATCGTTGCCGCCGCCGCGCATTGGTTACGCGACGGGCGGTCCTCACCCGTTATGAACTCGACGCGGCACTTGATGCGCTGGTGATCGAGTCACAGCGTAAGTTTTTTGTACAATTACGGCACGAGTTATCTCACCGTCTCCGTGTGTCGTCCAAACCACTCGGCCGTTTATGCCCGTTTATTGATCCTTCCGGCGTCATTCGAGTGGGTGGGCGATTGCGTCACTCGATGCTGCCATATGACCGTCAGCACCCGATTCTATTAGCAAAACATTCACGCTTGGCCTTGTTGGTGTGTCGTCATTGGCATCGCATCAGCTGTCATGCCGGACCTCGAGTCGTGACCGCCATTGTGTCCCAGCAATTTTGGATCATGTCTGTGAGATCAGTGCTACATCAAGTCAGCAGTGAGTGTACCAGCTGCGTCCGATTTGACCATCAACCACCTCAACCGTTGATGGCTGATCTGCCACCAGGCCGTGTCCAACAGTGCCGGCCGTTCGCTCGAGTGGGTATTGATTTCGCAGGTCCATTGCAGCTACAAGAGACCCGCCTTCGCAAATCACGGTCGTATAAAGTGTATATAGCTGTTTTTGTGTGCTTCGCGGTGAAGGCGTGTCACCTCGAGGTTGTGACCGAGTTATCTACGGCCGCGTTCCTTGCTGCATTCGACCGATTTGTTGCTCGGCGTGGTCTGCCATCCGACATTTTCAGCGACTGCGGGACCAATTTCGTGGGTGCCGATCGACAATTGCATACGCTGATCAATAGCCCGGAGGGACAATCCGCGCTAGGCGACTCTCGTCCGCATTGTTCCTGGCATTTCAACCCGCCCAGTGCGCCACATTTCGGCGGATTGTGGGAGGCTGCGGTCCGGTCGACAAAAAGGTTATTGATTCGCGTCATGGGTCGTCATCACTTCACTTACGAAGAATTCACGACGGTGCTGTGTCGAGTGGAGGCCGTGCTCAACTCCAGGCCACTCACACCGTTGTCATCCGATCCAGCCGACTTGGACTACCTATCGCCGGGACACTTTCTTATCGGCCAACCACTACTTGCCGTGCCGCCTCGGACATCGACAGAGGACAAGTCTAGTCTGGTGAACCGGTGGAAGTTGTTGGACCAATGTCACCAGGCGTTTTGGCGACAATGGTCCACCGAGTACTTGACCACACTGCAGGCACGCACAAAGTGGTCGAGCGGGTCCCCCAATATCCGTCTAAACGATGTCGTCGTCATCCGGGACAACCAGTCTCCCCCATTGTCGTGGCGAATGGGACGGGTGATCGCACTGTTGCCGGGAGCCGACGGTGTAGTACGCGTGGTCCGTTTGCGAACCGCCCACGGCGAAGTGACTCGCCCTGTAGTGAAGTTGGTCGTCCTGCCCACCGAAGGGACCTGCCCAGGTACCCCCTGTTAGGTGATACCCACGCTCTGTTCGCCTATGTGTTTCTCCCGCTACATACGCGAACTCCATTATATTTAAGTTTTTTTTGTATACTTGTGCTACTGTAACAGCACCCCCCTTATTTTAGTTTATATTTTGTTGTATTTTTTTTTTGTTGTTTGGTGGTAAGTGGTAACAGGCCAGAACTGACTCCGTGAAGCCGTCGTCATCATCCAGTTATACCAATGCATCAGCGGATGTGAGGCTGCGCCTCCCATGGGGGGGAGTATGTTTGTGCAACACCACCGTTACTCCGCTGGACATCGCGTCGGGTGTCGAACATTCGCGAAGTTGACCCCCCGACCCCCTCCACCACCCTGGATCGCGCCGCGTCGCGCTTCCAGCCGCGGGCTATCGCCGCAAAACTAGTTCTCTCCGCACGTCCGTGCTTGGCAGGTCGAATTGTCGTTTTCGTACCCGCGCCATCGTTGTCGTTGATGTGGTGTCCGGATCTGTTCGTCGACCACGTTTTTCGTTCGCGCACACGCCGTTTTTGTATACGCGCGTTTTCCGCTCGTTGTGTTCTCCTCATACTTGGCCGTTCCCGACCTCCACGTGTGTCAACGTGCCAGTCCGTTACTGACTTAGGTAACGTTGTTTGTAGTCTCATTCACCGTAGTGCGTGTTCGGACCCCCCTTGTCGTCCATCACCGTACGCGTGAATAATCTTCGATCGCGCTCGTGCGTTTTACCGTGTACGCTTTTCGCGTTGTTAAGTGCGTCCCCGTTCGCTGATCCATCGTGGGTCGCGATCGGCCGAATTCGGGTTTTTCCCTAATTTGCCACTGCACCCTGTGGTACGCCGTTACGCCGCGAGCGCCGCACCAGTCAGGTGTGCCAATTCCGTCATCGCCGGTGCGTTCGAGCGGTGCACCGTTCCCATCGTGTTGCTGTCAGTTGGTACCAGTGTTGTCATCGTCGTGTCCAGTCGTCCAGGGGTCAGCTGTTATCAGTCCAGGCCGTTGTCACCACCACCACCGGCAGATAAGATTTATTTTGTTATTATTTATATATATTATTTTGTACATCGCCATTCCCAAATATTAGGTCATTGTAAGGTATGATCATACCCCCCTGATTATAACACTATTGTTTTTGACTAGTTTGTAATAATACAGTTGTTCAGTGCCACCAGGGCACACCTTCAATTTGTTCGCTTATTTACTAGTTTTGTAAGTTGTAAGGTTACCTACTCTTAGTCACACACCGGTTACGAGATATTCTTACCCGTCGCAAGTGTCGTACGGCCGGCTAGCGAGACGACGTCAATAGCTCCGTCCGGTGCGCATACAATAAACCTAAACGTGGTACACATAATTGTATAATATATGTATTGTATTATAATATCTGTTATGGAGGCGTCTATTGCGAGAGAAGTACTTGGTACACGATTTATCCATTTCAAAATGTATACACGTCCAGGTCACCTGAAGTGTGATTTTGTAACGTATTTATTCAATGTAAATAAATTCAAAGAAAATCAATGATTTATGCATTTATAGTGTTCACCATTGAGTGATCTGTTTTAAACTGATTCATTCGTCAAGACCTACCTCATATTGTGAAAGTCTGGTTAAAAGGGACATGGGACAAATTGATTTTGTTATTGTATAGTCAATGATTATTTAACGCTTTGGTTCTGTCCGGTTTTTTGTGTATGTCAAAATGTAAAGTTGAAAGATGAGCTTAAACTTAAAACGTCTTGTATTATGGTTGTTCAGATATTATAATGTTGTGCATTATACAGTTGAATTTTTATAAATTTCAAGGACAGCGTAAATTGGAGATATCATTTTATATTGTGATTTATTTTTTTTGATCACAATAATTATTACATGCCTAAATAACAGTATATAATGTATTTAAGAGTAGTGGGGATTTCAGTACCACTTCCGAGATATTTTACACCCTGGCTTAGAAAATCATAACTTCTAGACCCAATTTGGGTTTCATCAAACCTTGCTATAAACTTTTGATTACAACAAACAATAATCGATGGTCTATGTAGTGAGTTAAATAGGTCGTGAATTATTCAGAATCATTTCATTCCAATATATTCCTCAGAGAATTTGAAACATAGGAATGAGAAAAATAAACTGTACGATGGGCTAAGCTGAGTGTATAAATGTATAAATTATATCATAATAAATCATCATTATTATGAGTATATTTACATATGGTTGATTTTCCATTACTTTGTTGAGTTTGTTGTGAACCATAAAACATATAACACAACTGGCAAGTGGCATCATTTCTAAAAGTAAATAAAAATAAGGGTTCTAATAATTAATAAAGTTGCATTAATACAACTGCAGCAGGCCAGCACAGCACATTTTTGTAAGTAATTTTTAGTATTAAAATATATTATAATATTAAATATTCTTCACTAATATGATATTGTTAGTCAGAACGCACATAAGCTCGTTGTTTTTACTTGTTATAGATTTTGGTTTTAAAAAGAATAATACTCATATCCTATACTATCTTATTAATATACTCAGTTTATTAATTTATATTAAAACTTAAAAAAAATATGCTCCAAGTGGTAATAAAATATTTGATCTATGTTTTAAAAAATGTATTTAATAATATTATAATATAATATCAATATTTTCAACGTAGTATAAACGTTTTCTCTAATATTTGATTTAAATTTCATCTGTCCTACTACATAATATTGTATACTCTGTACGAGATTTAATTTTCTCGTTGAGTTATTATTCAACACAGACTATAAATAAATAATATTGGTTCAAACTAAAAAACGAAAGTATACTTGGACGGTTTTTGTGAGAAGGTGGTCAAGTCAAAAACTATAACTTTTCAGAAGACGATAAAAACGTATTTACTAATGACATAATAATATTTTATATTTTATATTGCTAAATTATGTTTAAAACTACAAGTTGTTATGATTTTGAAAACAATATTTAAACATTTTTTATATTTAGTTATTTTTAGTTGACTTATCTAGTATGACACGAAGCATTTATCACTTTACTGACTTATCACTTTGTGCACATAATGACTTGTCCATCTTATCACAGACTAAAATTAAATTATCAATCTACTTTTGACTTGTCCACTAGTGCACAATTATGACTTATCCATTTTATCACAGTCAACCAAATAAAATATTATATTATTCTTACCATCTTACCTGCTTTGTAGTTCATTGTTTATGGTCTTAAAATCACTTAATTACTACATTAATATTCAATATTGATTGTCTTATCATATTTGATAAATCAAATTATTATTTAACACACATATTTGAAACAATAGAGTATAGACTTCTTACTATTTATTTGTATGAATAACAAGAAAAAAAACTTACAAAACATTTTTGTTACCTAAAATCTAAATAATGTGAAATAGATTTTAATTTGACTTAATGTAATAAACAATATTATAAAAACTATTAAAGATAAAAATGTATATAGTTTTGTGTAACAACATAAGAGTAGTAATTGCACATTAAAATATTGTAAACATAGGAACTTATGTTAACTAGGTATCTCCTTATTAATTATGACTTTTTTATTTACATACCTAATAATAATTTTTTTTAAGTAAGTAACAGTAAAATATAATAAACCTTATTGCACAACTGTTAATACTAATAAAAACCATAAACCTAAATAAAATATATTTTCAATCACTCTCATTTTCTGAAATCAAAGGATCACATACATCATTGGATGTTTTTAAGCTCTTATAAAAATTGTGATAAACATCTGGGATAAAACTTAATAAGGTCATGAGATCATTTTTTTTTTCTTGAGTAATGGGTAGTGGACCACTATAAGCTGTAGGTACAGTAAATGTAGGGTTTGTGATTCTTCGAGTCATGTTTAATGTCATAAATGGTAAATCTTCAGCTAACGAATTCTTGTATGATACAATATTTTTATTTTCTTTGGTGAAACGTAACCATTTAACATTCTTAAAAACAAATGGTGCTCCTTCTTCATTTTTTTTTTTAATATTATATTTTTTCTTCAACAAAGTATTAAAATCAAAAAATTTGGTTTGATCCATTTCAAGCACACAAAATTTATCTTTACCAGCAAAACGAATAAGCTGAGCCCAATCGTGTGGGTGATTTATGGTAGAAGGATATTTTTTACGAGTTTTTTCGATTCTTGCGTGGTCGGAATCGCATTCCATTCTTGAATGTCCCGGAACCATAAATTTGTGATCTATTGTTTTTATGGTGTTTTGAATTTCCAAAAAGTATAAATACATAGCCATAATAATGCCATTTTTGTTTTGTCCGGGGCAGCAGTCACTATACATTACAATATGTGACACTTCTTTAGATAAATTGTTCAGGTAATGGTAAATGCATGAGCTAATTTCATTAGCACCTCTTTTTGCTATTGATTCATACCATATATAGCATGTAGCTTTTGAATTAGCAGAGTTATGAACAGTTAAGTTGTACGTCCATAACTGCCTTTTATAAAATGCCACTGAACTTTCTAAACTTGGAGTAGGCAAACATTGTTGTAAGTCAAAAGAAATTGTACATTTTTCATTTGAATTAGATGATATATCGTTCCTTTTTGTTTGATATGCCTCTTCAGCATCATTCTGATGTTGATTTCTTTCTTCAAGTAATATTTCTTTTTCAGCTGTTTGTATATTATTTGCAAGTTTAATCTTAAATTTATCACAATTAGCACATGTATCCTTTTTAGGATTTTCAACTTTTAAGTTAGATGCCTTAAAATATTTCTCATAAAGGGTCCGACTTACTGGTTTCTCTACAGTTTTTACATAATCATCATAAGCTCTTTGAAGTGTAAAGTATGGAGGAAGGTACTTTTTGTTTGTCTCTTGTCTACAATAGTGACTCTCGTACACTGGTAATTTATTCAAATGATCTTTTACCATTTTGATATCATTAGTGGATCTTTTATTTTTAGGTTGACCACTACCTCTCTTGTCAGGTGAACATGTATTTGCTG